AAAAAAAAAAAGTCTGCTATTAAAAAAAAAGAAAGAAACACACACCCCACCTGTGGCTGACACAGGTGAGCTTTGGAGGCTTTCCTTTCTAACAAGGCCTCAACCAGAAAACTATACTGTTTCACTGTTTATTAGCTGTTCCCTGACCCCTTCCAAAGCCCTTATAAATAGATTCAGTGGCACGTTTGGATGTAGAGAGGATAGAATGATGGGGGGACTACAAACTCTGCTGCTTCACTGCCATTAAATTACATCAATAAACTTGATGTTCTATTGTATTTATACCACCTGCTACCAGGAATGTGGGTATGAGGATTTGCATGTGTGTGTATGCAAGCACATATCCTTACAGGGCACCTAACCATCTCTTAACAAGCCTTGATATGTTCATTGCTTCACATTTTCCAAGTAAATTCTGTCTGACTGAGAATATAATCACATTTAACAGCATCTATAAAAATTTCCAAAAAACCCCCAAAGCTTTTAAAAATGTCAATAAAATAAGAATAGAAAAGCCAAGTATCCAATGTACTCAATTTTATTATGAATCCAGTAGACGATCTAACACATGCTCACTTAGGAGAAAAACTTAATTCTATTCAAGTTGGGAGGAGGGGGAACAAAGGAGGGGAGAGAAAAGGGGAAGATTGGTGTGCTCGCGCTTAAGGGCCACAAGGTAGGGGTGTATGGCACACTGTCTGGGTGTGGGACACAATGTCAAGAGGGACTCTACTTAACAAATTCAAAAATTTGAGCTGGTTGCGGTATCCTCATAATAACCTAAAATTTAAAAAAATTAAATACATATTCAATCAGGAAAAAATTGTCAATAATATGTAAATAACTTACTTGGCAATCCGCAGCTTCCCAACTTCACCCCTTCCTGGGGCTTTCGCCCATTGCTGTGACAAATATTTAGGAACCTAAAACAAAGTAAAACTCTAATAAGACTGTGTTCCAGATGCTGACATATCTTATTAAACATAAAATGAAATACTTCTTGTATTTTATTTTCCACCTCTAATAACGGATCATTAATTATCAAGTTTTTACTGTACATTCTGCACTATAAAGGATACTAAGACATATAACAAATGACTTTAGCTCTCAAAGAGCTTAAAGTCAATCTAACTGGCGACACAAAACTGACATAGGTCAAACACACTAACTGTAATAAAGTGCTAATTTATGTTCCCGAATAAATCCGATACAAGATCAGAGAAGAGAAAGGCTACCAGAAAAAGCTTCTCAGAAGTAGACAGCTCTCTCCTTAGAGCAGTAATGTTATTAAGCCACTGGGTTTAAGATGATTTCAAAAGCCAAGTTTTATTATGTCTAAGACTGTAACTACTATGATGGAGGAGGTACTAAAGTAAAAGGAACATTATATATAATAACTAACATTTTAATAATGCTACTTTTCAGATACTTTTGTAAATAATTTATACAGATTAACACATTTAATCCTCACATCACTATGAAACAGGTACTGTTAATTACCTTCATTTTACAGGTGATGACCACAGGGCATCCAAGGATTATATATAATAATTTGCCCAAGGTTATATAATTAGTAAAGATGGTGCCAGGATTCAAACCCAGGAAGTCTGGCTCCAGGGCCTATGTCAGGGGTCCTCAAACTTTTTAAACAGGGGGCCATTTCACTGTCCCTCAGACCATTGGAGGGTCGGACTGTGGGCCCCAGGACAAGTCAGCTGCTAAGCAGGACAGGCAGCGGTGGCAAAAACACCCGGAGGGCCGGATAAATGTCCTAGGTGGGCTGCATGTGGCCCGTGAGCCGTAGTTTGAGGACGCCTGGTCTATGTTCTTACTATTGTGTCTATAACTGGATACATGCAGTCAGAAAAAATTTAATTTTCAAAAACAAAAGGGATTAATATGTGATTAATTCCTACTGTGTACTTTAGCACATTTCTTCTAAGAAGTAGTTTGGTCTCCAGAACCAGTACATACCTTCAAGGTTATCCTATTAAGAGGAAGAAAAGAAATACTACACATGAAGTATGAAACATAATGAAACAAAAGAAAATACAAAATGAGTGTTAAGTGCCATTATTATTTCTCACAGTAATCTTGGAATAATAATAGGAACACGTAACTGAATGAGAGACAGTTGCCAAGGAAAAGAAGGCAAGAAAAAATTCTACCTAGCAAGATTTCATGTGCAAAAAAACCCCACTTGACTATTAGTCAAATAAAATGCAATAAGTACAGTAAAATAAATTGAAAATTTGGTATAGCAAAATTTCAGGAATAGAAGGATCAAAAGAACACCCTGATACTATTTATTCAATTATGTGTACATGCTTCACACTAAAACTTACTAAACAACTACTATATGTCCACCAATATGCTGGAGGCTGGGAAAAGAAGCAGGGACACAAGAGTGACAGGTACCATGCTGGACATTACATATCCATTATCCCATTTAATCCTTCCCCAAACTATGAAAAACCAGTCATTCCCTTCATTCTAGAGATGAGAAAACTAAGGCTCAAAGGGTTGAAATCACACAATTAACCAGTATCAGACACAAGCCTTTGACTCCAGATGGGTCTTTTGTTCTCCTAGCTCCCCACTACTGCTTCTGATGACGGTGCACATGCTAAACAAGAATTATGTGAAAGGGCTCAGCACCCGCAGCACAGTGGTTACAGGGCCAGGCACATATACCAAGGCTGGTGGGTTTGAATCCGGTCTGGACAAGCTAAACAATAATGACAACTGCAACCAAAATATAGCCAGGCATTGTGGCAGGCACCTATAGTCCCAGCTACTTGGGAGGCTGAGGCAAGAGAATTGCTTAAGCCCAAGAGTTTGAGGTTACTGTGAACTATGATGCCACGGCACTCTACCCAGGGCGACATGGTGAGATTCTGTCTCAAAAAAAAAAAAAAAGAATATGTGAAAGATTAAATGGAAAGAGAGTTTTGAAGATTCCCAATTTTTAAATTTCAACTACACTATACTTCATTCACCCAAATAAGCTTAAACAATTTGGCAAATTCCTTACTACTTATCTAAGTCTCCTTTGATTATGGAGACAGAAAACCCACTCAAACACATAAAGAGGATTCATTTCTCCAAATAACTAAAAATTTCAGAGATAGTTCAAGGTGGCTTAATTCGGAGCACAAATGATCTCACCAGGACTTTTCACCATTTCTTATCTATCCTCTCCCCCATGTTGACTCAATCCATTGACAGATTTCTCCCTTGTGTAGCCAGATGAAGCAGCTCCTGAAGAGCAAGAGTCTCTCTTTCCCAAAAGTTTCTGGCAAAAATCTTTCTCTCACAGCACTAACGAGGGCAGATGTCCTTCCTTATATCACTGTGCCCAGAAATGAGATATTTTCATGGGCCAGCCTGAATCGATGACAGCTTTAGGGAAGGGTGGCCAACACCACTAAAATCAGATAGACTGAAAAGGGGGAACAATGGTTTCCATATGTAAAATCAAGGTGCTGTTACAAAGTCAGAATAAGGGGATGATGGTTAGTCAAAGAAGCAAATGTCCACATAGGGATAGGGGACTTGTGGCCTCAAGGCCACATATGGCCCTCCAGATCCCCAAGTGCAGTGCAGCCCCTCAAATGAGTCCAGGACCTTCTCCTCGTCAACAACAGTATCCCTTCTATACACTGCATTTCAACCAACCATTCTGATGACCGTCTGCTAACTTCCCAGTTCCCTCCCTCCTGTATGGTACTTCCGCCACAATTCTTCCACCCCTTCAATTCATTGACTCTAATTAACATCTTCTCATTATCCGACACTGGCCTATGTCCTCACTTCTGTCTTCAAAGAAATCAGATTTCATGGTCCATCATTATAATCACTCCCTTGCCCCTATCTCCCTCTATCATACAGGCCTGGAAGAACCTTAATCCTGACTGATTAAAGCCAATCTCTTGGGCGGCACCTGTGCCTCACTGAGTAGGGCACTGGCCCCATATACGAAGGGTGGCGGGTTTGAACCCAGCCCTGGCCAAACTACAACATAAAAATAGCCAGGCATCATGGTGGTTGCCTGTAGTCCCCACTACTCGGGAGGCTGAGACAAGAGAATCACCTAAGCCCAAGAGCTGGAGGTTGCTGTAAGCCATGCCATGGCACCTACTGAGGGCAACAAAGTGAGATTCTGCCTCTTAAAAAAAAAAAAAAAAAAAGCCAATCTCTACTTCTTATAAATGTATTTATCTATGTATTATTTTATTTTATTGTTATTCTTCCTCTCCTCCATATTTACACCTGAGCAGCTAAAGAAAAATTCACAATCATGCTGGCAGGTCTCACTTTAAATACATAGCTACCAACATCAAGTAAGCCCTTATCGATGCCTGGCAAGTGAGCTACATCTCCCACTCCCCCACTCCAGATGATTCAAATGTTCTCTTCACTTCTCATACCTACAACACCTCTTCCTTCCTCCTCTCTCTGTGACCTGATTCTTCACTGAAAAAAGGCAAACAATCTAAAGAGAATTCCTAATCTGCCCCTTAATCGCAGTTAGATCCTTTTACTCTGCTTTCCCCTCTTAAAACAATCATGAAATACGGGCAATCCATCCATTGTGCACTGAGTTACCTTATTAAAGACATCTTTCCTTCAATTTTCCCCTTTCTCTTCTCTACCCTTTTCTACTTAATTATCCCCATCAGAATAATAACAATAATGACAATAATATTAGCAGCTAACACAAAGTGATCACTAAATGTGGCAAGAAGACTCTAAGATGGCCCCCAACAATCTCCACTCACTTGTGATAGATAGTCCTTCTCCTAAGTGTGAGCAGGACCTGTGACTCAGGGCAAAGGTGACAGGATGCCACCTCTATGATAAGCTTGCATAAGTTTGTGATTTCCATCCTGCTTCTCTCATTGCTTTCTCAGTTTGCACACTGATGGAGCAAGCTGCCATGCTGGAGAGGCCCACATGGCAAATCTAAGGGCAGGCTTCCACCAACAACCCTGGAAAAACTGAGATCTACCAGACACCACCTGGGCTTCCCTAGTCAAGACCCCAGATGAGATGCCATCCCTGGCTGACACCTTGACTACAGCTTGTGAGAGACTCTGAAACAGAAGAGCTATGTAACCTGTCCCACGAGTCCTAGCCCACAGGAACTGGGAAATAATAAATGTGTTATTTTACAATACTACTAGGTTGTATAGCAATAGATAATTAATACATTAAGCAACAAGCATTCTTCGAAATGCTTGAAATATACAAGGTGGCCATAAAGTTCAGGTGTAAATTAAATAGTTATAATACTTTCTCCACTTTACAAGTGAGGAAACTGAGGCACAGAGAGGTTTAATTTGCACAAGATCAAGTACCCAGTAAGAGCAGACACTATAATCCAACCTTTTTTTTCTCTGCCACACATTGGAATAATGAATTCCCTTGGACCACACATTAAATACACAAACAGTAGGGATAGTGGATTAGGAGGGGGAAAAAAAGGTCCATGCATATCTTTTGTGATATCCAACACCACAGATAAGCAAAAAAAATTCTCACAAAATAAGGATGCAGCCCATGGGCTGCAGGTTGGACACACCTGCTATAATCCTTTCCACCCACCAAACCCATTTCTTTGCCTCTCTTTGGGACAAAACTACTTGAGAGAGTCCTCCACACTGGCTGTCTACATTTACTTCTCTGCCACTTTGGTGTCAACTTACTCCAGACAGGCTCTCCTCCCGACCACGCCACTGAAATTGACCACAGGGTTACTAAAGATCTCCACATTGCCAAGTCAGTACTTGTCCCCTCTGCCTGTTAGTTCTCCATATCTAGATTCTTACCTTACTAGGCTCTTAACTTCAGCGGGCCCTAGATTCAGTCCTCAGATCTCTCTTCATCTCTATATACAATCTTAATGTAATCTCATCCAGTC